TAATGCCGCTAATTAGAAAATTTGTAACAAAAAAAATACTGCCTGCAAAAGATCACATTCCCTTACCTCATTTACTCATCTAATACATTTCAAAATACCTACACTAGACACAGAGCTATGCATCCGGTATACAGTGATGAACACAACACACATGGTCACTGCTATAAATACTTTAAATAGTTTTAGTTGACTAATGTGGGAGGAACCCTCTCAGGTCACCATTGTAGGAACAAAGAACAGCTGGAAACCAGTCTGGCATACTCACAAATTGAAATCTCAGGATAAAATTTTTTTAAATAAGCCTTTTTTTTTTTTTTACTGCCAAAGGCCAATGTACCTCCTTCCTTCACTGTCTCTTGAATGTTACAAAACAATTTCTGACTAAGGTCCGAACAAGCAAAACCTTGCTTAAGGAGAGCTATGGGATGGCAGATATTGTCTAGGTCTCAGGACACTGGGCACCCACACCAAACTCAGGGGTGCAAGTTATAATTAAAAGAAGAGGGTTTCCTTTCCCACTAGCGAAAGCTTCCCAGCTGTCACTGCCCTAGCACTAATGGGCTGTCTTGTCATCCTTATAGCCAAGCCTCCAAGTGTACGTTGGAAGGCTTTTGCCTTTGGAGATAGAGGCTGGGGCATTGCCACATGGGGCCCAGCTGTGGTCAGCTCTGCACTGGCTCACATACTCTCTCAGCTGGGCAACTTAAGCCATAGGTCTGAGAGCACCAGACGATACTTTGTTTCCCCAATTCCACATTCTCTCTCTCTCTCTCTGGGTTGTTTTTACGTGAAATGCTGCAATGTGAGAAGTGAGTTGTCCTGAGAAGCCAGGCGGTGTTGAACTCTGACATTAATCCTTTGCTTATTCTGAAACCAGCTTGTCTACCCCAAGTTGTTATTTTACACACATGACTTGATTTTAATTAACAACAAACCACAAGCTTACACAATAAGCTCTTAAGCCAGTTTCTTTCACCAACCTCACACTATTAAAGGAAATCTTTTGGGACTCTGTAGGGAAATTAGATGCCAACATTAAGATGTTCCATTAAGAGGCCAGGACAAATGACTTCAGTCTGCCGCTTAAAACAAATGGGGTTTCTCAGGGTTGAGTACACTAGAGCAAGGAGAGATCGTGAACACACATTCGGATGACATGACACAAACTTTCACGCTGGGCCCACTCTCCTTCCAAAAGAGCCCTGGGTGAACACGAGCAGGTGGGCTGTTCCCCTGAGAAAGGAGACCACAGGATCGAACCAAGGGCAGAATGATTCTTTTGCCAGCCTCAAGTTTCTGTTTTCATAGATTAGTAACTGTTATCTAGAAATTACTCCAAACACCAAAACTGCAAATGCTAAAGGAAGGACACATTATCGAAATAAGCCATTTCAGTGAGTTTTTCATCAACCCTTTCCTTTCCCTATAACAAATCACCAGGTAGTTCATCCAATCATAAGTTACTTTATTAGAGAGAAACCTAAGTTTATTAATAAAATTGCATGACCTAAATCAAGGGTTGGCAAACTACAGCCCATGGGTTGAATTTGGCTTGTTGCCTGCTTTTATGAATACAGTTTTATTGGAACACAGCCATGCTCAGTCATTAGCACGTTTTCTGTGGCTGCTTTCACATTATAATGGCAGAGTTGAAGAGCTGAGACAGAAACCAGTTGGCCCTCAAATATTTATAGCTCTTTATAGAAAAAGTTTGCTGACCCCTCCCTGATCTAAATAACCATTCAACTTAAGAATAAATTTGACAAGATGCAATAACTATACACCAAAAATCACAAAACACTGCAGAGGGAAATTAAACAAAACCTAAATAAATGGAGCAATATGCCGTGTTTACAGATTAGAAGACTCATTATTAAGATATCACTTCTCCCCAAATTAATCATAATTCAACACAATCCCACTCAAAACTCCAGCTGCTCTTTTTTTCTTGTAGAAAATGATAAACTAGCTCTAAAATTTATGTGAAAATTCAAAAGACCTATAATAAACAAAACAATTTTAGAAAAAAAAATCATTTTTGGAGATCTTACACTACCTGGTCTAAAGGTTTACAATAAAGCTGGAGTAACCAAGACAGTATTGTATTGGCATAAAAACAGACAAATAGATCAATGAAGCCAAATAGACAGTCTAGAAGTAGACCCACCCATACGTGGACAACTGATTTCCAACAAAGATGCCAAGGTAATTCACTGAGGAAAGGATGATCGATTTTTTTTTCAACAAATGGTGCTAGAACAATGGAATAGCTATAGGAAAGTGACCACTCAGCTTAACCTAATTGCTATGAATGGTGAATAGGCCTAAAAAAATGCATATTCGGGGAAATCATTTGCCTCACTTGCCTTCTCTATGGTTTTTTTATACTATGGAGCAAAAGTTTCCCTGAAAAGTCTTTATTGACTAGGGTACTTATGCAGAAACGTAGAGTTGTAAAATGTCAGAGCTGAGCATAACATTGGACGATCTCATCTGTGTCCCTTACTATGCAGAAAAGGAAGTCAGGACTCATAGGGTTGAAGGAATTGCCCAAGGCCAGTTAAGACATAGCTAATATGAAATTAAAATTCCAGTCGGACTGGTGAGGCCACTATAATTGAGTAGGACCCTTCCAATATGTAAAGACCATCATAAACATGCATGACAAAACAATCAGCCAAAGAACAGAATGACCAGAGTAACAGAAATGTTCCTGGCCTCCTGCGTAAAAACCCTGCCTTCTAATATAGAAAACCAAGACCCCAATGACAGTTCCCAGGGGACTCAACCCTGGGCACAAGTGACACATCATAAGAACTTTCAACATTACCTCATAGTTAATGGTTACAAAGAGATCTTTGATGCTACTTTTTGGTTCTGGAACGGGTGGGAACAGCTTGGTCCATAAGTGACCTCTAAAAACAGAGTAAAGGAAGGAATTAGGTGAGCATGAGCTTCCCTTTTGTCCTGAAATATCTACTCTAAAAAATTGACCTAGGTAATTGCAAATCTTTTTAAAATTCAGAATCTTTATTGACCAAGACTTCCAAATATCTACGTTGTAAGAATAGTTGAGGACCGTGGGGGTACTGCAAGGCTGTGAGGTGGCTTCTGAATCATCCAGGAAGCACAGGATGGTCACTGCTTCATGGGGATGCATGTCAGCAGGCCTCATTTCTGCACACGGACATGTACGTCAAGTGTGTGGCACCGCACCGTGCTGCAGGACTGGCTGTAGCCTGCCTTCCTCAGCTGTGTGGGCTCAGAGTTTATTTTCTTTCTTTTTCCCCTCCTTTGAACTGTCATGCCCCAACCCATAGATGCCATCTGAATATAATATTTGTAATAGTAATTCTGCTTAATGTGAAAGTCATTTTCCAAATTGTGAAAGGGCCAAGACAGAATATGGTCTTAAGCCTCCTTAAGAGTACTTTGCCTTACTGAAAGCTAAAATGGGTGGAGAGTGCTTAGGGGGTCATTGCAGGCTCCAGGAAAGACCACCAGATCCACAGGACATGGCAAGAATCTGGGTTTGACCTAAGAACAATCTGCCACTCAGGGACAGGGTGACTGAAGGGCTAGGTAGGAGTTGGCAGCTGGTAATCGAGGACCACACGTAGAGGCATTGTGGGCATTTCAGCCTCCGGGTTGCCTGCCTCTTCCTGAGATGGAAAAGGCCCGTGCTGGTGCTTAACAAAGACAACCAAGTACAGAACAGAAGCTGTGCGGGAATCAAAAGAGAACGAAGGTAAAACCCTTCACAGAAATTCATGGGCTGCTGGCACATGTGAGAAGAGGCATGTCATGGCTGCGGGTCGTGCTGTGCTCTGCGCAGTTGCTGTAAATCACCTGCTGATATTTCTCACTTTTGGTTTGTTCCACATTCACGTTGGAAAGGTGGTCTAGGAACAAAAATGCTGTAAATTCCATCTGATAACAGGAACCCTCCGTCTAACGGATGCACAGCAAGACTGTAAACATGCAAGGCTCAGTCAACCTCCATCAAATTGAAGCACCAAATGTGAAGAATACCTACGTTCTACACACGAGTGAGAGAGTCAACAAGATGAGGCATATGGTTGCCATGAGCACAATGAGAAACCATTCTGTCAGGGGCTTCTGCTCATCCTTTCCTTTTGGGGGAAAAAGAAATAAAGAAAGAAATCAGAGTTAGAGTTGGTGACAGATAACAGAAATGTCTAGGCTCAGGGCATGAGAAAACTCGGGTTTGAGTTGCAGGTGCTGGGTGATGCTGGGCGAGTAGCTTAAACTTCCTGAGCCTTAAGTTTCTCATCTGTAAAAGTGGGATAACATCCGTCTCACAAAGTCGGTAGAGGGTGAAATTAAATGATGGCAATGAGACCACTTTTAATCTTAAAGCATCATTTATTCAATCACTCAGCAAATAGTTGTGCGGTCCACTGCATGGACTGTGCCACCTGGATCCTGGAGCTTATCAGCTTTTGGTGAGCGGTAAAGTTTCTAGATGGAAAAGCCACAAAAACATAAGCATACTTAGTAAACTAATTGCATTACAATCAAAACATTTTACAAAGTTGGAAGTTCAACTTTTGGACAAAATGAAGTATGAGATACTTGTAGTTAACAATAAAGGCATCAGACTCTGCTACATGTGCTTTACGATCTTAATTATCCTCAAAACACCCCTTACTACTATTCCCATTTCACAGATAGGAAAGTAAAAGAAAATTGTCATTAACTCAGTAAAAGTAGTAAATATTTTGCATGCCACCTTATTGTCTATTTAAATGTGCTTCTAATAATTTACATTCAAGGGATAGATTCTTCTATGAGTTTTGATGACAGCTTTGGTGAGGGTGGGATTTTTTTTTTTAAGGTCTGGGAATGCGTTCAAGAAAAATCCGAGGCCATTTACTAAATGGTGTTTAAAGAGGCAATGCGCTTGCTAAACTGCCTGATTCATTTTTGGAAAATCATGTAAATCCTGAGATGGCACCCCGAATACAAGTTTCCTTTCTGTGGGAGAGGCTGTTCATTCATTCATTCCTTTATTCATCCATTTAACACATAGTTATGGGGTTCGTGTTATGCGTTTGGCACTGTACAAGTTACTGGGATACAGTGGTTTAAAAAGCTCACAGGAGTCCTCCGATCGTGCGGTTTAGAGGCCATCAGGGAAGAACAGCACTAAACAAACAATGACACAAATAATGACTTCA